TATAGTTTGGTTTTAATAATTTAGTAAATGTTTATAAATTGATGAATACAAAATGGTTTTCATATTTATTTCTTTATAAATTGGTAAATGATAAATATTACATTAGTGCTAATTGTATTTGTTTTTACAATGCTGCAAATATAAAATTATTGTTGTAAATAAACTATCTAATACATAGAGTTTAATATTTTCGTTGTAAATTCTCAAGAACAAAAAAACTGTATAAATTCACTTTCATCGTATGTTTAAGTTGTATTCCAGTTCTAATCATCGGTTTTTAAAACAATAAGCATTGCTGAGGAGTGAAGGTCGTTAAAAATAGTGAAGTTATGGGGAAAAAAATATTTTGGTATTACGTCTAATTGCGGGTGTGTTGTATTTATGTTTGCCAAAGTGTTGAGAAAAAAATATACCGTATGCTGTCGCCATGACACTCACTCAATTCCCGTAGACTCCACTGAGTAGGGGATCACTGTTCTCCAAGACACTAGCTGCTGCTGCTTTGGTTTCTTTCGAAAGAATCCTTTTACGTGATTAACTTGCTAGGCACATGTCCAACCACTTTTGAATTTACAATTGCCATTTTTTTATTCTGGTTGCCAACTAAAGTTACTATTTGACTCATAGACGTTGTACAAATTAGTAAAATTTATTTATTTTATATTTTTAATTTAAAAATGTTTTTTTTTAAATAAATTTAAATATGAGCTCTTATATTTACAAATTTTTACAAATGCCAAACCGAATTGATATCTGAATTCTTGAAATCTTGACGTTATAAATCACCATTCACGATTCAAGTAATCATTTAGGGCCGTAATGTCACCATCTGTACTGCTGCCATAGCAACAGAAGTGTGTGTCTAGGGAAAGATAAACCAACGTAGCTCATTCTTCTTCGAGTTCTGTTTTAATTCAGAAATTATCCTTTTCTTCGCTTGATTACCTTGCCTAGGATAAAGAGCACAGTCTTCTCTGTTACTGTTATGGGGTCCACCCTTTTTTTCAAGTTTGACTCTACCGTTAAGTGGACTCAGAGTAGAGAGATTGAGATTGTGATTGAGTTGCTAGAGTCAAGTGTGAGGTAAACCCAGAAGTCACAGTTACGAACACGTAGACTCAGGAAGTTCTACTTCGAGACTGAATTTACCAGACTGTATATATATATAATATTCATAATAAAATAAAATAAAATAAATAAATAAATCTCCATAGACAAGCCAACTTGACGAAAGCTTAATACATCTTCGTTTCATTTTGACACCCTCACCTTCCACCGACTTGACACCTTGAAAGTATCTCTATACCGCTACTCATCATTAACACCCTACACTCACCTACCCATTTTAGACAATTCGCCCTAGCTGTTACCATGGTGATTTTGATTTCAATTTTTAAAACAAGTAAATTTCAGATTCGTTATTCCAACAAAAATTCGCTTGAAAGATGGAACGGACTTTTAATTTCAACTCAATTTAATTTAAAGGATTATAGACTTTCGAAACATGAGACCTCTTATGTAGCGATTTGGAATCATATTATTAAATAAATAATTATATATATATATATATATATATATATATATATATATATATATAGAGAGAGAGAGAGAGATAGATAGAGATAACGAGACTCGTTTCGAAAAACCCTCGAATTTTTGATTTGCTAATAATCAAATCAATCTCGAGGGAAAAAAGGTTTTAAAAAAAGAAATTTACTTATTTTGCCTGACGATCCGTTTAGGTGAAACCTAGTTAGGTTTTTATGGCTCACTAGGTATATATATATATATATATATATATATATATATATATATATATATATATATATATATATTGCTACTAACCGCGTTTCTGGATCTTCTAACAGTATTACCAATTGTGTAAATACATTTATTTGTTATATTTCATTCCTGCGTTTGTCATTCATTGGAGACCGAATCCACAACAGTTACTTACAGAGCTTTTAATTCAAAGTTGTCCTTCACGACTTGTTAGCCTACTAAGGCTAGAGAGGACAATCTACTCTATTGCTTACGGATTCAAAGTTGTCTTTCTCGAGTTGGTTTTCCCTACCAAGGGTAAAAACTAAGTCTACCCTGTTAATTACATGGGTTTTAATTCGGACATTTCCTTCTCCTAGACTGATCACCCGATCAAGGTTAAAGAACCCAGTCTACGCTATTATTCACGGGGCTTTTAATTCGGATTTGTCCTCCTGCCAGAATGTTTACTCCATGAAATCTAACGCGTACAGTTTGCCCTACGGGGCTTCAAATTAAGAGTTGTTAAATTTGAAATGGTTGCCTCGCGAAATTTAACGAACCCAGTCTACCCTGTTATTCACGGAAGTTTTAATGCAGAATTGTGCTTCGAAATTGGCTGTTATTTAACCCATAGTTGGAGGAATTAGGATTCTTTTTTTTTTCTCCAAGGTCATTAGTGCGAAGTGTGAAGTCAATCGGAATTTTAACTCGGCACGCCTAATCCCGTTTATGTACGGATAACGCTTACACTAGCCACACTTCCACAAACAAAGCATCATATTCGAATGAGGTTTAAATCGAACGGGCGATTGTAGAAAATGGAGTTCTTTGTCTTGCTGCAACAAACCCTTGTCACCAAGAAACTCAGCAAACAGAAAGCAGTGGAAAGTGGAACTACTTTCACTAATCGTTTATGTGACGTTCAGCAATGTCCGACACCATTACAGATCCAAATAGCATTCCCAGAAGTTGGATGCTATGCCGCATACTGTCTCCATCATGCACGTACTCGACTCTCTACCGGAAAGAGCTCAGAACATGATAACGTTTGCCAAAGTGACACAACGCAAATCTTCCAGTCTCCATTGGTGATGTTTAAGAAATCACATGGAAATCAGTTTCAACTAAACAGCCCAATGAGTGGTACGTTGGGAAGCCCTCGGGTTGAAGTTAGAAGAATTTGTATGGTACTTTTCGTTCGCTCTTAAGAATATCACGCATAAACCTCGAATGTTCGAATGGTTTAATGGATAATTGTTAATTACAGAGCCCAGTTCCAATTCCTGTTGGGTTTGTTATATTCCCTTACACGCAAATATCCTTGGAAAAGGTATGAACCCAACTCTTCTACCCCTCCCCAGCTATGGGTTAATTATAATTAATAAGACTTGTATCCCTAAACCCTAATTATTTCCAGTAATCTTACTTATTATAAAACGCAGATTGCGTACGTGTGTGTGTGTGTTGTGTGTGTGTGTGTGTGTGTGTGTGTGTGTGTGTGTGTGTGTGTGTGTACGTTTATATATTGGATCGGATTTCCTACATTTTTCAACTGATTTCAACAGGACTGCGTAAAATTACCTTGCGGTTGTTTTGACAGCGTCAAAAATTGGAAAAAACACAATTGTTTTTGCACGAAGTCAATTTGAAAACACGATTAAGTCGCCAGAATGAAAGGGGGGACAACTTATATCGAGTTATACTTATGTTAAATCCCAGATTGTTTGTGTGTGTGTGTGTTTCTTTATATATGGGATCGGATTTCCTCCATTTTTTCAACCGATTTCAACAAAACTTCATATTTTTTTTTGGCAGGTAGTATTTCTTAATGTCTTGCCCACTTTTTTCTTTATTTTTACATTCAGAATGCTTTAAAAATTCCATTTACAAGACAATTGTTTATAATAAAATTCTATTCAATCGGTAGACTCATAACGATTGAAAACAATGTTTTAGTTTGAGTTTGGGTTTGACCAATTCGTTAAAAATACCCAAAAAAAGAAAAAAAAAAATTAATTAAGACATGCGTGTCCGTCAACCTTAAACAATAATATTTGTCAATTTTATTTTTCAGTTTTTATGATGGTCGATACTTGATCTATCTCTTACTGTTACATCCCCGGGCAACGCCGGGTTCTACTGCTAGTAATTAATAATGTTATACTTACAATCTAAAATATCTTCTGGCTTTAAATAACCTGCAATGGGTTGACAAGCCGTAAAAAATCAATCGGTCGATCGTAACGAGCCTGGTTAGAATCTTTCAGGGTCACATTTGACTATTTAATTTTCTAGTGCAGACCATTTTTTTTTGTTACCGACGAGAATTGGAACATAATCTCTCCATTGTCTTCTTAGACTATTTTAGGTTTCTTCAAAGATTGTTTCGCGGTTTTATATGAAATAGACCGGCATTCGAGCGACCAGACATACGTATTTTTGGGCGGAGATGGGAGGGGGGGTTATTTATAGAAAAGAGACAAGTCATACAAGTCGTATTGAGTTATACTGAAAAGACCACCAATCTATATTTCTTGTAATATAACCACTATGCTCCCACTAGAGACTCTCAGATTTGATGAAAAAATTCCGTCAGCAAAGCCATAAATTTATCTTTTTTTTATAAACTTAATTACAGTCCTCTGGCTAGGTGGTATTTAAATACTGCCGTTTTTATTTGGCAATGAATCTGTATCGTTTGTCCTAATTTACGTGAAGAGAGTAAATGATTGCAAATTGCCTAGGTTATTATCCGAAAATACCGGTAAAAAAACGCGAAATGACAGAATCGGATTAAAGTCTCCGATCAAAAGAATGGGTTTGTTCAGCAACGTGGTATCAATTGGCTGTACAGGCAGGTGTCATAATCTCAAGGCTTTTGTCATTTTTGGAGAGAAATTCGAAGAGACTGAATCACTTTCATTCAGTTTTTAGTTAAGATGTTTATAGAGAATTCCACATCAACGCCTACACGTGTCCCTGTTCTTACGCACGTGAACACATCTTCAATCATATCACCATAATCTAACATATTTTTATTCATATTTTATCCGTTCTATCTATCTATCTATCTATCTATCTATCTATCTGAATAGTGTATATCTTTCTATAACAGTTTATTCAAGACTGTCTGTCTGACTGTGTATCACTGTCTCTCTCTTGCTCTTTCTCTCTCTCCCTCCCTCTCTCTCTCTCTATATATATATATATAGAGAGAGAGAGAGAGAGACAGAGACAGAGAGAGACAGATATATATTAATAGACGAACATAGATAGATAGATAGATAGATAGATAGATAGATAGATAGATAGATAGATAGATAGATAAAATTAACAGACTAAAACATAGATATTAATAGACTAGGACAGGTAGAGAGACAGATATTAATAGACTTAATAGCGTATATATTTCTATCACAGTTTATTCAAGTCTGTCTGTCTGACTCTCTGCATACCCCTGTCTCTCTCTCTCTCTCTCTCTCTCTCTCTCTCTCTCTCTCTCTCATACATATATATATATATATATATATATATATATATATATATATATATATATATATATATAATCATTTCACCGCAGAAACGCAGGAATGCCACTAGTACGCAGTGGTTTACAGAGAATGAAAGTGAGAGGAAAGACTGGTAGTGAGTTTGAGGAAAAAAAAAGATGAACGGGATTCAAGACGACAAAAGATGGCGTTTGACTTTGCATTTAAATTTTTGAAGATCGTATTTTTCAGGGAGGCAAGTAAACGCAATGGAATTCCAATGTCGTTACATTACATTATTTGAATAGTAAAATGGTAGGACCAAGTTGCGAATCTAGTAGCACGCTTAAATTCATGTAGTGAGGTACCAGGAAAAAAAAAAGCTCGTCAGAGCAGTTAACATAAATTTATTTGTAGAAAAAACAGAGAGAAACCACATCGCGTCTGTGAGAAAGTGACTGAAGTCAAGATGCCGAGTCAGAATCGATTACATTGCAGATCCTTCTTTGGATTTGGCCAAAAACCTCGAGATGAATAGCAGGAGGGCTAGACCAGATATGGAAACTGTATTCAATGCAGCATGGCAGAATAATAAAGTTACAAAGATGGATTCTAACATGGCAGAATTTGTAAAGTTACAAGATGGATTCTCACGACACAATGAACTTGTATATATATATATATATATATATATATATATATATATATATATATATATATATATATATATATATATATATATATATATATATATATATATATATATATATATATATATATATGCTTGCGCGCACCTCGAGGCGGTCATGCTAGAACAATTACGACTCAATTGTAAGTTCGATCCTCACTGGGCGCTCCTACATTTGGCTATGTGCCACATCTAAGCTACGCTTGGAAAAAACACTATACATGTGTTGTGTGTGTGTGTGTGTGTGTGTGTGTTTACGTGTGTCTAAGCGTGTGTGAATTGGAATCAAATACACATAAAATATGGATCGTAATCCATCAGAATTTCTGGATAGGCAATAAATAGGAAAACGTTTTTAAATCTAACATGTTTCACTTTTATTATATATATTTTATATATATATATATATATATATATATATATATATATATATATATATATATATATATATTTAGAAATAAATTTTTTTTTTAAATAATAACCCATAATCCGCGTAGATTTGACTGCGCCAGTTTTGTGGGAACCAGATATTTTTTATTAAAATTGAAATTACGTAAAGTTCAGTCTATACTTAGCGCCTGCAAATTGCGATTGCATGAAACTCTTGACTCGGGCTATCGGTGCAGGATAATATGCATATTCATTAATATATATATATATATATATATATATATATATATATATGAGGCAGGATGTGTGTGTGTGTGTGTGTGTGTGTGTGTAACGAATACACGGCCGCAATTTTCGACGGATTTGCACCAAAATTTACATGCAAATGCACTCCAAGTTAGCGACAAGGCCAAGACCGACTTTGCATTTCCCAACTTCCATCGATAGTGGAAATAATCGATTTTTTCATGCTTCTACGGCAGTTTTCATCTAGTTTGCGGCCATTTTCTACTGGCCAGAGTGAGGGCCTATAGCTGGCTGCCACAAATAGGCAGGAAGATTCTATTAGCCAGCGTGAGAGCCAACAGCTGACTGACACGAATCTTAACTAGCATGCTAGCATGCAAAAAAAAATCGATAGCTGCATTCGTCACAAGTGGGAAAAATTTAAATCTGCATGGCACTTTACTCCATTTGACTCATTCGCTTGCTTAAACTCAACGTTGATTCTGATTCCGCAGAACTGGGTTGCGTGTGAAAAAGTATTTGTTGTTAACATTCTTTTTTCATTCGGTTTTTCCAGTTACGAGTCCTTTTTTAAAACTGATCGTTTTGTGTTCATTTTGTTTAGTTCTTTTTTCGTAACAGATTTAATGTTTAGTATAGAGCTTAGAAAGAATTTGCAGTGTGAGATAGGCAAGAAGTAAGGTATGTAGCAACATCAGCACGGCAAAGGGCACTCCTTTAAAGGCAAGGTAGGGCAAAAATATTTTAAGCTAAGTGATAGCGATTGCTGTATGAGTCGTACGATTTTTGAATCAAGCACGAGCATGCTGCTAGTATCTGATAAAAAAAAACTTTGATTACATAAATGTGTATACCTGCGTATGCAAACGTGTGGACGAGTTTCGGTATATGTAATGAAAATATCTGTATATAAATATATATTTGCGTGTCTCTATGTACGAAGGTATGGGTGGCTATATAGAAGGATGTGTGTTGATTGTTGGGTCTGACAAAAATTAACTTTTTGCCTCAAGCAAAATGTTTTTTTAATGGCCCAAATAGTCCAAGTGTAGACTATGAAAAGGAAAATGGAACTCAGAATTGGCACCTGCTCCTCCTCGCTAATCGATTCCGAAGAAACCAAAGCCTATTTATTTTGTTCCCCAACATTTTTTTTTCTCTTTTTCTCTATTAAATTCACTTCTGAGGCTGAACACTAGTCTACATTAATTTTATCCGACGATAAATTTGTCCCCATCTTTTAACAATGGTAGATACGTACATTTGTTTCTTTCAGAGCACATTTTGTTCACGGATTAAATGAATTACATTGCCTAAGAAATGGCATGTTTAATTTCTTCTTTTCTTCAGTTTTCGTTTTATTAATAGTTTATTTTACTCGCAAACATTTTGCTTTTCGCCTTCTTTACTAAAATTTTTGTACTGTTATTCCCAGTCAATATAATTTAATTAAATCGTTTTTTATCCGTATAAAAAAAAATCCAGTATAACTAAAAACATATCTCTTTAACAATAACGATACCAAAAATGCAATTCGAACCTGGGTATACAATATTCCACGTTCTAACTTCTAAATAAGAATATTAAACTAAATATTCCATACATACAATTATTGTTTATCCTCTCCTAGTAAAAAAAACAAAACAAAAAACAAAACCGTGAAACAAACCGTTTCCATACAGGAAACATTCGACATGTAATAACCGAAGATTTAGCGTTACTGTCGATTACAGAATCGAATGTTGGGCCGAGATGGTCAGCGATTGATCAGAATAGTTTATGGGTATGGTGTTCTATAACAATGATGAATTGCCTTTGTCTATGTTTTGGATATATGTCCAAAACGGCGTGAAGTCAAGAGAGAGCAGCAGAAATTTTGAAGCGTCCCATACTCAAGTTCGAGCGACAAGCTAAGACCATACGGGGAGGGACGCTGAGCCAACGAGTGGCATGCGTTCCCTTGAAGTTCTGCCCCCTAGAATCCACGCTGCTGCATCTGTCCTTCTTCTCTAATGAAACGAGTAAACAAAGCAACCGACTTTCGTTGATATCATCTATGTTGTAGCGCTGGGATCAAGGGACGATACAGAACGTAACATAATTCATAAAATGTTTCTCTTAATAGAGATTTTTTTTTGTCAGGAAAATAAACATTTTAAATATTATTATAGTGTTATCGCCCTTCCTAGTACCAATGGATATTTCCTACCTCACCTTGTGTTTAAGGCAGTGTGGAAAGTCAACAACTTAATTATATCATTATTTTCATTTCTAGCTTTACAGATTTTGAATTATTGTTGTTGCTGATATTCTTCAAGTGAAGCAAGTATTTCAGTCAGTTATGTGCCATGCGTGATACACGCTTAGGCGATCATGCCTCTTTCGATACATGACTAACGAGGCAGATTGTTCTTCCGCAGTAGTTTGCCATTTCTTTCTGCGGTAGAGCAGTTGCCATCTAAGGCTATAGAACCCGGTCTGCCCTGCTATTTACCCATAGCTGTGGGGAGAAGAAGAGGATTCATAACTTTCCCAAGGGTATTAAAACGTAAGTGAATGTAATGGATTCGAATGAAATTCGAACTCGGCCCTCCCATTCCTTAATCTGAGCCGCTATCCATTACCCCACCGTATGTAGAGCAATTCTTATCATTGATATGAGAAAAACTATGGGGATATCAGGTTGAAACACCTGTTCTCATTTAATCAACGCGTTTAAATAACGTTGCGTTTGTTCTTTACTCAGATGTGTGACCACGGGCATTGTAATTTCTCCTGGTATGAGTTCTTGTTGTATGTCGACGTATTCACAAGCATATATTGAGGCCCGATGGTACAGTTGGTGGTTATGAGGTCATCTTCTATGTCAAACCTCCAAGCTATTGTAATTTCTCCTGGTATGAGTTCTTGTTGTATGTCGACGTATTCACAAGCATATATTGAGGCCCGATGGTACAGTTGGTGGTAGGTCATCTTCTATTCTCAAGCTATTGTAATTTCTCCTGGTATGAGTTCTTGTTGTATGTCGACGTATTCACAAGCATATATTGAGGCCCGATGGTACAGTTGGTGGTTATGAGGTCATCTTCTATGTCAAACCTCCAAGCTACTGGATGTTTTTTTTTTGTGAGAAACTGAGTACAAACATACGTTGCTATCATTTAGAATGTGCCCAGCACACATCAGGGTCACCACAGATCAACTCCTCTTAGATCAAAGGTTCCTGATTGACCTTAAATTCGACTCAGATAATTAATATCCAACAAACATATGTATATTGTATAAAGGTTCATTGTTTTAATAGACACACGACAGAGGAAAAAATGGAGTCTGATATATTATAATGTACAATTTTTTTCACATATTTGTTAACAAGAATACATTAAAACCCGATTTTACACTTGGTGGTCATCAGGGTACCTTCTAAGCTTCTGATGCACCTAACTATTGGATGTTCTTGCGTGAAACACTGTACAAAAATTGTATATTATCTATTTGGGTGATGAAACCATTAAATATCAATTCCTCTTAGATTAAACGTTCCTGATTGATATTATATTAATTCCAGATCTCTTTTATTTCTTGGTGGGAATTGCATTCTGCATTCTGCATTCCTCATATCGAAAAAGACATAAAGTTTAAGGACCATATTATATAATTTGTGATGGAATTTTTTATTGTTAAACAAAATGATTGACATTACTCTTCCAATATTTTTCAACAGTTAAAAGAAAAACACGATTTGAGAAAAGACAAAGAAAAAAAATAATCTTAAACAATATTTCATCAGAATGTCTTCAAGTTATCTATAATTCTCAAAATGTGTGTATGATCGGATGTTGTTTATGCGTTTCCACTGTTTTCACCAGATTTCGATGAATTTTTTTTTTTTTTTTTTGTTTAATAGATAATTCTTCAGTACCGGTTTTAAGTTCAAATTGTCTGGAAAAAATTACAACCTTGAAGGTGAAAAGTCGAAAAAACTGATTTTTACACTATGCGCAAAAATCAAAAGGTAAAATTTAATGTCTGTAAAAAACAGCGTACAATCAATTTAGAGAATTGAAATCTAACACAAAAGATTATTAGAATTATAAAAAGATATATATTATAAATAAAAATTATCGTATATTAATATTGTGACGGTCCATGGAAGAATTTCTTTCCTTGCAAGATTGAGAACGCAAAAACGGCCCTTTTCAGACCTCCCCCCGCCTCATTCAAATTGTTATCCCTCCACCCATATGGGGATGTGCCTCACTTGTACCCAATTGTTGTTACTAATATTGATTTTCGGGTAGGCTGACTTTAAAGTTAAAATTCACCAATTGAAACAGTAAAGAAACACCCGGTCGAAGAAGGTATGCTAGTATTTTAAAAAATCAAGATTCATAGTTTTAAGTAAAAATATATATTAAATAGATACTTTACTTTTTTTAAAGAATCTAATTGAAGTCAGACATTTTGTTGAAATATTCTCGATCGTTCTCTTCTCTTAAGTATTATTATTATTATTATTATTATTATTATTATTATTATTATTATTATTATTATTTCCTATTCAGGTCAGTAGATCTACGTTTGTTACAATCACAACGTTTCGACCCTTGTACTTTTCGACATTCTTCAGTTGTCTGTCGTCATACTCGATAGTCTTCTAGGAATCAGAACCTTTATTCACTTCTCGAGGTTAGACTGTTCTTATTACCTGTTCAATCCTTATATCATATCTAGGTTAGAGCTTCCCAGTCCACGTTTCCGTGCCTTGACAGAGCTCAACACCTTTCACGCGGCCTTGTTGGTAATGAATTATTTTTTACTTTACAAGCCCTTTCCCAGAGACGAAATCTTGTTACTTTATCCCTTTTAAAAATATTCAATAGGCTGACTGTTTGTTTAATGTCATTTAATTAAATTCACCTTAATAAGTTTTATGTTCATTTTTCATGTGTATCGGAATA